CACAAAGGGGTGTGTAATAGAATGTAGAGAAAATGTGGGGAAGGAATAGAAAAGGGGGGAACTCATGATTTCAGCAACCTTGGACGCTAGATCAAAGTGCGTCAGGAAATCTTCCTTCTGGATATGCCAATTTACAGAGGGTTGTGACTTTGAGCCCTTGGAAAGATGCCTACAAATCCTAATTTTGTCAGGGGTGCCGGGTTGCTGGGGCTGGATGTCGACAACGAAAGGAGAAGAAAAGAAAGGACCACGCAGGATAAGTTCCACCTCCTCACAAGAGAAGGGGCCTGACATCCTACCAGCGAGAAGTTCCTTTTGCAGGTAATCCTGTATATCTTGCAAGTAAGGGTAGGTGGAAGGGTTATTAGGAAGGATAATAGATTCCAAGAGACCAGGCATGCATCCGAGAGGAAAACCATGCCTCAGGTTGTCAGAAAGGAGAGGATAGGCAGAGTAGAGACCATGCTTGAGGAGAAGAGAGTTGAAGGCATCAGAATTATAAGGGTGCGCAATGCACTCAAAAATAGAAGAATGGTGGACAGTGGAAAATGTGAGGGGGGGGCGAGGAACAATAGAGAGTGAGAAATCGGTGTAAGAAAGAGGAAGGGGACAGGCGACAGAGAAGAAATCTTCAGGAAGTCTTGGCACAACACGTCCAGGAGAGAGTGTGGTGTTCTTTGCTCCTGCAAAAGGAACACAAGTGGAGGCAGTCCTCTTTGTGGAGGGAGGCACACTGAGAGGTGGCGTCAGGGGCTCAGATGTTCCAGTTGATGCAAATAACCTGGTTGTCAGGAGTGGCAAGGCCGAAACCAGGGTTGCATTTCGCCCATGCGACCTTTCCATTGGCAAATTTGGTGGGAGTGGTGGCCTTGAGATGGAAGAAAACGGTATGTCCCCTACATGCACAGATAAGGCAGATGGCAGTGGAGGAAGACTTGCCACTGCCTGACAGAAAGGGCTGGGATTCAGAGATCAGTGAAGTGGAAGGTCCTTATGGTGGGACCCTTTGAGAAAAGGAACCATTAGCCTGGTAAGGCGGACCCTGAGGCCGCCCAGTTGCCATCTGGGAAGAATTGACAAAGTCCTGTAATTCTTTGCGCAGCTTATGAGTCAAGTTATGGCTCTCCTCAGTAAGACCCAATGCCTTGTCATAGTCTGTAGCACTGAACTTGAGGTGGCAGCTGTGGTGGTCCTGGCAGGACTCGAGTTCCATGACCTTCCACGTGTCATATAATTCATCTCTCTTGTTCAACATGTTAAAAAAATTGAAATGCTTTTCAAACCAAGTGGCATGTTCGCCTTCACTGCCTGACTTGTCCCTCAAGATCTGAAAGCTCCACATATTAGCAGCAGCCTCAGACCACTGGCTACAAGTAAGGGTTAATTCCTTTCCAAAATGGTTGGAGAGTTTCTCTATATTTAGAATATAAGTGCCCTTGGTCTCACTGGGTGCAGGGTTAGACTTGACAGTAGGAAGGGTTGATGCCTCATCAACAAGGAACCATAAATTCTGGGTGAGAAAGAAAGGAAGAGGAACTGCAACACAAAGTTCAGTGTCATATAAAGACTGTGGGAATTCAATAGGAATAGGCTCCCCAACCACCCTCTCAACGTGGTTGGAACCATCCATACACTGTCTTTTGGAGACCCTGGCATCCTCAGCAAGAATATCGTCATCCTTCCTCTTCTTCTCTTCTTTTTCTTTCAACTCCTCATCAGCAAGATGCCTCACAAGGCTGCTGTAAATGAAATCACAGACGGAAGCAAAGAAGGAGGGGACCCTTAATCGGGCAAGATCCTCAGGATCGATAGTGATCAAGGAGGCAACTTCTGATCCCGGTTGAGGGTGGCTGACGGGGTCTAGAGCGTTATTCAATGTCTTGGCAGATCTGGCATCATTATCTGCCTCAATTTGTTTGTTCCAGTGTAGGATGTTGGTCAGCGACAGGTTCTTCAAAAGCTGGGTAATAGTGGGAGAGGTGTGGGTATGTGGAACGCAAGGCTGCACGCCGTCAGTACCAAGGGGTTGCACATTGTCGGCAATGGGGGCAGTAGGAGCGGAGGAAGCAGTACCAGTAGGTGTGGTAGGAGTGGCAGAAGCAGTGTCAGCCATCAGGAGCAGATGTCAAAAAACTTTTGTGAGATGACTGACAGACAATTTCTTAGCATCAGAACCAGATCTGAAGTGATGGGGAACACATTCCCAAAAACATAGACATATATTAGTATCTACACCTGAGTGAGATGTCTGGTTCTGACACAGACATTATCTTACCCTAAGATGAGTTTCGCACTTGTGCCTCACGCTTACTCATCACGGAGCTATGCATGGGCTAGAATGTTATTCTTTGTCAGTAGTGTTTGAAAGTTAGGTTAGTTAACCGGAAAATAACCGGAAAATAACCAGACCTAACCGCAACACTAACCTAACCGCAGTTAGGGTTAGTTGATTTCAAAAATGGAATAACCGGTTATTTTGCGGTTAACTAACTGTTAAATAACCGGTTATAACCAGCCCTATTATACACCTTCAAAACGCACTTTAGAACGTTGAAAACACTTAAAATTTGACTAAGTTACAGTCAAATCTCTAAAATATCACTCAAATGTGTAGACTTTCAAGGATAATTGCATAAATATGTCAATTCTTCACCGATTTTAGCGTTCTTGGGCTCGTTTTAAAGCTAGAATATGCAGAAATAATATCTATCAAGATACATATGAGCATATTTGCCTTGTTATAACCGATTCTTTATTTTTCGGTCCTAACCAGTTAGTAACTGCAAATAACTGACTGTAACCAGTTAGTTGTGGTCCGGTTAGGTTATTTTAGGTTTCGGGACAAGGCTAACCGGTCTCGGTCTCAGTTAGAGCCCCTGGGCACCCAATAACCGGACCTAACCGGACTTTCGAACACTATTTGTCAGGGTTTCATGTTCCAATTGTAAGCCAAATATCTCCAACGACGCGCCACCGTCATTGATCAACAA